GTAAAGCTCTTTCTTACTTAGATGCTGACAGGATAATTCACACTTCATATTTACAAGGAATGTAGTTCAAACTACTTTGAAAATATTTACTAGTAGAATGCTGGGTTATAAAGTATCTATTGTTATTGCTGTATAATTTCCAGTATATTTGAAATCTCAAATACTCAAATGGGTTTTTCTCCCCATCAGAACAGTTTCCCTCTTGGAGACAAACTCAGTTGGATCATGGGGAGAAATTCTGATTTTGGAAGTGACCGTGCAATAGATGGATTGCACAGTGCAGCTCTGCAGTCATCACTGAGTCCATCAGCCAGTGAACCTTTGCCTGTTAAAAATCATTTAACAAGTGAGGCAGTGTTTAAAGATTTAAAAATAACTCGTGATCTGAACTCAGAGGTACCTGAAAGAGAGAATACTTTGGATTCTGAAAGACTTCCTACCCAGCAAAATGCAGTTGACTTCAGGAATGATTTGAAAGTCATGGGATCTTTGCAAGTGCAGCAGCAAGCAGGTGAAACTCCAAACGTGGCCAACCCACAGGTGCTTCTTCCTTTTCTGCAAAACTTGTGCACTCAGGTGAATCACCTTCGGCTCAAGGATGGAGAGAGGCACCTTGGCAAGAGTGCAGTGGCTAAAGCAGAAGGTGTTCAGAGTGCTGGGTGAGTTAAGCTTGGTGAATCGCTCAAAGTAGTATTGACTATTTACTGACAAGTTTAGACAAAATGTAATAAGCATTTTCTTCTCATTAGCAGCAATAATAAATCTTAGAATACGTGGTTTTGAAGGCTTTGTCGTGGTGAACATTATAAATTTTCAATTTCACAATTTTTTTGAATGTAGGAGTTTTTTAAAAGAAATCACATAATTTGTTGTTACTAAACTGTTTTTTATTCTACCTCCATTTAATCTAATTTAAAAAGGATCTTTCTTCATCCTTTTTATCATCATACACATTTAGCTTGTCTTTCTCATCTACTATATTTTCATTTTGATTACTTTTACCCCTAAATTCTCACCTCTTCCCTTTTACACACAATGTGACAATCTTTCTGCTCCAGAAAGATTAATCTGTATCATCCCATTGATGGTAATTTGTATCATGCCACTGATTTTCCTGTTCCTCCTCACTTGTTGGTATTTACAGTGCAGGTGTCTCAGTTACCCAGTTTGGTACCTCAGGAACAAGAGTGGAACTTGTTAGATGTAGGAATCAGGATTTAATGGATACTGAATATCTCAGCTCCAGTATTTTTAAAGAATGTAGGTGCAAACCCAGGGAGTTGCATAGTTTGGATAACTCTTGAAGCACTTCTGCTGACAAGGACAGTCTGCCATGCTGACAGAATATAAACTCTATGTGTATTGTTGACTTGTGTTGATTTTGTTTTATGAAATTAAGCTCTCTAATGCACAGTTGAGCCGTTGAAAGAAGATGACTATATACAATAGCACTGTTTATGAAAAAAAAATGAGATTTAAGTGTGGCAGGCAGGGTATTTTGCTTGTGCTGGAAACCTAATGCCTTCCAAAGTTCATTACCTAATGAAATTTTACATTTAAAAGATGTTCAGGTGCCCAGATATCTATATTTCCCCTTGTCATTAAGAAATAGATTATACTTATTCTTATCTTTGCTCTTCTTACAGAGTGGAACAACAGCCTATTTGCTCCTATTTGGAAAAGATCATTTCAAAAAACTTGGATCTGATGGAGAAAAAACTAATGGACTATATTGACTGCCAAATCCAGGCTCTTCAGACACACATAGACAATAAAATGTTTCTCTTGATGGACTTGGTTCAGAACTCAAAACCAAACAAGATTTCCGAAGCACACTATGATTCTAACGAGGGGTTTTCTAATGGAGAGAGGTAGAGGGTTTCAATGTGAATACCTTGAGTAATTACACTTTACGAAGCTTAGTATTTATGCAGTTAAAACTATGAAGAACCTCAGTGTTATTAACTTGCATTTTGTTACTGTAATTCTATCCACTGTCATACACACTTGTTAGTTTTATGAAAGATCTTAAGAATATGTGTTTTTTCCTAAATGTAACAGTTTTGTATGCCCTTCGTGGCTTATTTATTTAAAGAGCATTGCTAGAAGCTGTATGAACAGTCCCCCAATTCCAGTTTGAACAGTGGAGTACTCTAAATAAACTGAGTTACTGCTTATCTTTTTACCTACATGTAGTCAGCTCACTTTTTTGGGTTGTGTTAATTTTTGATATGAAATGTGTTATCAGTAGAACAGAATGCAGTTTGTTCTTTTGCTTTGTTGGCACTCCTGTTGAAGACATTTATTGTTCCATCTCTGCAAGGAAGGTTGGATTGTCATTGCCTGATTTGGGCAGTTTATGGAGCTGTCTTTAGAGAGCTGGGCAAGTGTGAACCCAGCCTGTGTTCTTTGGAAGCCCTGTTGGCTGTACAGGCACCTAAATTAGGAATCCAGGCTCCTTAAGAGATACCTAAACCAAGACTCTGATACTTTCCCTCCTAAACTAGCTGAGTGCAGGAACAAGTGAAATGAATGTGAACTCAGCAGACTTTATCCAGGTTTCATTATCCTGAGAAGTGCAAATACTTCATTCATGGTTCCTCTCAAGTGGCTGTTGTACCTGGCTGGGTGTGCTGGGGTAGCTCCAGAAGCCAGAGGAGTTTTCCTTACTGCATCACACTTCCTTTAACCCATTGGGATCAGTTTTGCTGTGATTTGGGGAGGTAGGAATGTGACTCCAAATCTCTCTTCTGTGGAAGGCTGAGTTTCAAACTTCGTTCTGTTTGTTGCTCTTGGATTCTGGGGTGCACCATTTAAATTGGAGGGTGTAGGGGCTTCATGGTCACCCCCTCAGCTGGGTGCACAAACATTTTTGGCAAAAGCTATCGATGGAGAAGCAAGTGTTGACTCAAAACCAGCATAAACATGCACAAACCAGCATCTTTATTTACTCTAACTGGTATTTTCTGCTCCAGGAAAAGTGATGTCTTTCGAAGACTGTCAGATCCTGATGGCAGTAAACCCACAGAAGTAGATTTGGAAGAGAAGATAATCTGCTCTGAAAAGACATCTTGCAGTTGTCCCTGGTCTTAACTCCTGCCAGGTGCAGTTTCAAAGTGATTCAAAAAGAGAAAAAGATTTTTTTTTAAAGACAAAAGGATCTTAATTATCTTGTACTTCATACCTGTAAAGTATAAAGTCTGTCCTGAGGTAGACACACTTTTTTAACTCAGTGACTTGAGATAGAGTATTAAATTGAGACAGTTTTGGGTTTGGATTTTTTATTTGATAACAAAAGAAGTTGAAATGGATTTCTGAGTGTAGTTGAGTTCCAGTGCTGTAATTTAATGATTTTTTATCTTTTCCCTCTCTGAGTGACAAATATGAATAGCAGTTGACACTAAATAGAAATCTCCATAAGTAGTTAAAATGACCTCTGGACATTTTGATAGCTGTATCCTCCCTGGTGTTTGTGATGTTTTAGCATCACAGCTACCACAATGAGAATGTCTGAAATTAAAACCACAAATGCCAGAGTGTAGAAGTTGTATTGTTGCAGGTTTGGTGTTTTTTAAGCTTCTACTTCAGTGAGGGATTCTGTGTAGAGAGAAAAATAAAGTGCTTAAAGTTTAGAATACTGTGTGATTTAACTGGGAATTAAATATTTTTTCAGATATTTTCATTTTACATGATCCACAGAGAGTCCAAATCCTGAACATGTGGTACTGAAGAGTTGTAAAGGTTGGTAATAAAACAATCCTACAGAACATAATGATGTTCAGTTATTTGGTATTGCTGCAGCCAATTTCTGCCAAGCAGTGCTGTCACCATGAGTGAGATTTGAGACATTTGCTGAAGCAAAGTTGGGCAAAAAAAAGCAACTTGTGGTTTCCTATCTGCTCCTCAGTAAAACTCATTCTGTTTTATAATATTTGCACTTGAATATTTGCCCTTGAGTTAAAGATATGTTCACTTCCACACGTATGGATGCAAAGTCTTTCACTATTGAAATAAATGGGAACATATCTAAAATGTTGCTAGAGTTCAGAAAGGTTAATATTTTTTTAAAAAAGAGAAAATATTCTAATTACTATTAAGAGCAAGATTAATTCTAAATATTTTCTAGCTCTGGTACCTGAAAGCAATGGCCCAATGTGCTTTTCTCAGGTGGAGCTTTGGGCTCCAGAAAAGTGAGAACAGCAAGCACAGTGGGAGTAGCAATACAAGCTTTTAAAAATAGCTTTTCCATGTTTTGTAGTTTCTCTTTGCTCTCAGTACCTGACTACTGCAGATCAGACTGCAAATGGCACCAAAGCTTATTTGTCTTACAAACATCTCTGCGGCTCTAATTTAAAGGCATGGTGCTTTTGGTTTCTGCTCTCAAGACTGTCCTTTTTATTCCTGTTCTGTGCATGAAGTGGGAGGATTTAACCTGGCCCAGAGTAAGTCAGCTGTGTTTATTATCTGGAGTACCAATGCATTTGTAATGATACTGTACTTCTAATCTCAGACCTATGCCTTCTTTAAAACAACCCTCTCTGATTTTTAACTCACTTTAAGGACTTTGAATGCAACTGTCTCTTCATCCTGAAATGTACTTACACTGCCTTTGAGTGTGGAGGCATTAAATACATGTTTAAAGAACTTGCACAGGATTTGAATTCCCTTTGGCTTCTGGAAACGCTAAATTTGCATTTACTCTCTGTAGCCTTTTATTTCTCAAACCCACACACATACTTGCAAGGAATTTTCAAATGTTAACATCCCTTTTGTGCCTGGATGTGAATCTGCAGTGAGTGTGTGAGCTGGCATGTGGATCCCTGCCCATCAGTGCTGTGTCCTTCAGAACCCAGTGCCCTTTAAATCATTACCTGTGAGAAGCAGAGCACAGGGTTATGAGTGTGGTGGAATTTTGTATGAACTGAGCACAATTAGAACTGAAGGAACATTGAAAGGGAGACGAGGTCTTGATGAGAAAAAACAGGCAGTTAATCCAATTATTTTTTGTCACTGAGAGTATTTACTGAAGTTTAGTCTTTTACAGATCTGCTGTATAGATCCAAAAGATCTGAAATTAAGCAGCCCCAATTCATTTAAGATTAAATACCTTTAGATTTACACCCACTAGTATATTTTTAGAAATAAGCAGCAGATTTTGGAACACAATGAACAGGTCTAGAGGTGCTCAACATAATGTCATGGTCAGAAACATCATTAATTGGGGACAAAGACAACAACGACTCCATCACTTGTGCTTCTGGCTCTTCTCCTGAAGCCTGGGAAGGGCTGGGGAACAGGGAGCCTGTGCACTGGGAAGGGTCTGAAAGAAGGGAGTTTGTTCCCTGGGAAGGGTCGGGGAAAGGGAAGAGGGAACTTGTTCCCTGGGAAGGGTCGGGGAAAGGGAAGAGGGAATAAGTTCCCTGGGAAGGGTCGGGGAAAGGGAGGAGGGAATAAGCTCCCTGGGAAGGGTCGGGGAGGAGGGAGTATGTTGCACCCTAATACTTTGCACCGTAGGCACATTCCATGGTTTACAGGAGCTTTGTAACGGAGCTGGAAAAGCCTCTGGCCTGATGAAGGGTTATTCCCACAGGTTGGGTCACTTACACACCTGAAAAAGGAAAAAAAAACCAACCCCACTTACAAATTATCGTGTAATGACTGTGACATGCTCACTAAGCCCGTTTGTTTCCTCGGTTGCAAGAAACTTTCTTCCAAAAATGTCCAGCTGTGATGTTAATCACAACTCACAGCACTCCACTCCTGAACAGGGATGCCACTGCATGGAATTTGGATGTCTGTTGGTGCAATTTGCATCATAACACATACAAATGTCACACATGTAAAGCACCTTGTGGAATTTTGTCAATGCATATTAAAACATTATCTGCTGTACAGTAATGAGGTAGTGGAATTTTACTGCACACTCTGCTATGGGTCATGCTTAATTAAAGCAAAGGACAGCCCTGGAAAGAAGGATTTCGATTTTTGGAAGCTTAGAGCTGTCCATGAAGGATTCCCCGGGGCAGCCAAGACAACACCAGCGTCCCAGCCCCTCTGACATGTCTTTGAAACCCTGCCAGGATCAACTGGTGCCATAAATCAGTGACTCCAGCAAGAATGGCTCCAGGGACATCTGGATCAACAAACATGCACCAAGAATATCTGTCTGTTTCCAAGAAATAGTGGTGCTTTGCAAAATTTTAATGTGATTAGTAATTGGAAGTATGGGTATGATTGAGTAGTCAAATCGAGTTGTACCTGAGCATTTGAAGGGTGTAAAAAAATGGTGTAAAATAATGTTTGGGGTATCCCAGCTTGGCTGGAGCATCTCACATGCATGAATAAATATTTACCCTTCCAATATTATTCTTGGCATCCCAGGTCTCCTTGGCTGGCACAGGCTATTTAGGTATTTCAGCAACATCATCCTCACATACTCAGGCAGGGGAATGAGCTGTGCTGCAGGGGAAGGAATTGAATGTTGATAAACCAGAGGAAAACACAGAGCAGAATGCAGCAGGTATTTTAATGCATTTATGTATTTTAAATACTGGCCTGCTTTGCAAATTTAAATGTGGGCCTGGAATAGCAGCTGAGTGGGGAGGAAATTAATTTCCCTCTTTGATGATGTTCCATTAAAAGCTGATTTCTCCCTCCTACAACTAACCCCGAGGTAACTCCCTGGTGTTGTTCTCTCCTGGAAGAGGGGGAGTTTGCCAGGATCATGAGATGTCTCTGCTGTGAGCCCTCCAGAGCACAGGGCACTGGTGGGCAGCAGCTGGCAGGCCATGGGAGGATATTTCAAATGGTTTTTAACTATAAATGACACAGCCCTAGGACAGCTCATCCCCTTGGCACTCACCACTGAGGATGGTTCTGCTGCCAGCTGTGTATAAGCAGCCTGGGATCCCTGGCTGAGCTGTGCATTCCCAACCTCTCTGCCTGCATCCAGCCTCTCCTGTGTGCCCTGCACTCAGATCCCCTCTGCCAGTGAACTGCCAGCCCTTCCCAGATCCCATCCCTTACCCAGAGCATCCTGCCCTTAGGAAGAGAAGTCATTAAAAAGAAGAAATAATCAAATACCTTACCTGGGTCTGTAGTTGCTGTATTTATCTTTGGACTGACTTAATGAAAGTACTACAAATGACATATTACTGGCATTAATGGAAACAAGATTTAATTCTGTTTATCCCTCTGTGTGGGGTAATAACCCCATGTTTAAATGTTTGCTTTGCACCTGAAGTTCAGTTTCTTGTGTGTTTTACCAAAGCAGACAAGTGCCTTTTATCAAAGTGTAGCTGACATGGCCAGACTCTAAAAGAAACCCTTGGTCTGCTCTGTGAGCAACTGAGGCAGAATGTTATCAACTAGTGAGCAGAATTTGCAATTCAATTTTTTCAAAAGATAAAGCCCACTGTGGAAAACTAAGGTTCAAAGCAAACACCACTGAATATGTCAAAATGATTCCCACTGACTCAACTTCCAGTGGGGATTCAGCTTTGAAAGTGCAGGGGGGCTGGCTTTGTGGGAGTGAGGTGTTTTAGAGGAAATCTGAATTTATATTGTGTAGTGTGTCTGCCTCAGTGAATTCCAGGTCCTTAGAACTTGTAGCAGAGCAGGTATTCCTCCCATATCAGTGCCAACAATTCAGGTCCCTCGATTTGTGTGGAAGCCAAAAAAACTATCCCCAAGGTTCAATATGAATTTTGTGAGATGATGCATGCAGTGGAGACAGGGAGCCTTGCCAGCACATCACCAGATCCCAGCTTTGGTAGGGAATTAAGGGTATAAACCAGGGTAAATCTGCATCACTTACTAGTGGCAGTGGTTGTTGTTTCAGGAGTTGAAGGGACTGATGCAGCAGATGGACTTGGCACTGTGAGAAGAGATGAAATTAAATATTGTCTGTGTTCTAATGACCCACATGAAACACAGTACACTGTTCCCCACAGCTGAAGAAATGACCAGAAATAAATACCTGGGATTTCAGCTGTTGTAGGCACGGTCGGGACTTTCAAAGAGAAAACAAAAGCACACTTAAATCTCTGTTCCATTATCGTGTGGCCGAAGCCAGGGCTGTCATGGGGGAGTGGAGCAGGATTTTACTCAAGCTGATGCTTGAAATTCTAACCAACATACTGAAGTCATACACACCTTCTGCTCCAGGGGTTGTGTCTTCTGCAGGGGCTGATCAGAGGGAACAAAACTTCAGGTTAAAAACTGTTTTCCCTGTGCTGGGCAGGGGGGAGATACCCAAACCTCAGGAGACTCGCAGGTCTCACTTGGGGGCTGGACAATGTTCCCGAGTGGGAGCAGCCTCAGTGTGGGGAAAACACATCCCTGTGCTGCCTCTGAGCCTGACACAGCTCTGGGAGCCTGGGGCTGTTTGCCAAACTCCACTTTGGGCTGCTGGGATCACGGCTGGGACATGCAGTGCCTGCCCAGAGCTGTGAGGGCTGTGGGTGGCACTGAAACTGGGAAATACACCCCAGAGTGTGCAGGGACTGGGATGCAGCTCTGGGAAGGCAGGAAGGCTGATTTTCTGGGAATGGGCTGACCAAGAGCAAATCTGGGTTTCTATTGACGTAGGGTGTCCATCCCTTCCCAGTTCTTCCAGGGCCAGTGTTTTTCTGTTTCCCCTTTTGCTCCTTTATTGTGTGTATTTTTTTTCCTCAAGACTGATAGTATGGCTGCAACAGTAATGCAATTTTCCTTACCAGTGGTTACATCTGCAGGTTCAGCAGTAGGAGAGACTGTTGCTGTGAAAAAAAAGTTGAAATTAAATTTTATATGCATTTGAAATATTTTTTCCTTTCCTCAAGACTGATAGCACATATACCCCGATAATGCAATTTTACTTACAAGCTGTTGCATCTGCAGGTTCAGCAGTGGCTGTTGCTGTGAGAAAGAAAAGGTGAATTTAAATATTAAGTGCATATTCTTGCTCTGAAACTTGTAGCATGTAACCCAGAGTAAAACTGTATTACTTACTAGTGGTAATGTCTGCTGGTGCAGGACTAGGAGAGACTGTGAAAAGATAAGGTAAAATTAAATTTCATGTGAATTTTAATTCTTTAACCCTAAATACTGATAGCATATACACCACAGTAATGCAATTTTACTTACCAGTGGTTACATCTGCAGGTTCAGCAGTAGGAGAGACTGTTGCTGTGAGAAAGAAAAGTTGAAATTAAATTTTATGTGCATGTTAAACGTATATTTTTTTTCCTCAAGACTGGTAGTATGGCTGCAACAGTAATGCAAGTTTACTTACCAGTGGTTACATCTGCAGGTTCAGCAGTAGGAGAGACTGTTGCTGTGAAAAAGAAAATTTGAAATTAAATTTTATATGCATTTTAAATATTTATTCTTTTCCTCAAGACTGATAGTACATACACCCCGGTAATGCTATTTTACTTACAAGCTGTTACATCTGCGGGTTCAGCAGCGTCTGTTGCTGTGAGAAAGAAAAGGTGAAATTAAATATTAAGTGCATATTCTTGCTCTGAAACTTGTAGCATGTAACCCAGAGTAAAACTGTATTACTTACTAGTGGTAATGTCTGCTGCTGCAGAACTAGGAGAAACTGTGAGAAGATAAGGTAAAATTAAATTTCATGTGAATTTTAATTTTTTTTTTCCCTAAAGACTGATAGCATGTACACCACAGTAATGCAATTTTACTTACCAGTGGTTACATCTGCAGGTTCAGCAGTAGGAGAGACTGTTGCTGTGAGAAAGAAAAGTTGAAATTAAATTTTATGTGCATGTTAAACGTATATTTTTTTCCTCAAGACTGGTAGTATGGCTGCAACAGTAATGCAAGTTTACTTACCAGAGGTTACATCTGCAGGTTCAGCAGTAGGAGAGACTGTTGCTGTGAAAAAAAAAGTTGAAATTAAATTTTATATGCATTTGAAATATTTTTTCCTTTCCTCAAGACTGATAGCACGTACACCCCGGTAATGCTATTTTACTTACAAGCTGTTGCATCTGCAGGTTCAGCAGTGACTGTTGCTGTGAGAAAGAAAAGGTGAAATGAAATATTAAGTGCATATTCTTGCTCTGAAACTTGTAGCATGTAACCCAGAGTAAAACTGTATTACTTACTAGTGGTAATGTCTGCTGGTGCAGGACTAGGAGAGACTGTGAAAAGATAAGGTAAAATTAAATTTCATGTGAATTTTAATTTTTTTTCCCCTAAAGACTGATAGCATATACACCACAGTAATGCAATTTTCCTTACCAGTGGTTACATCTGCAGGTCCATCAGTAGGAGAGACTGTTGCTGTGAGAAAGAAAAGTTGAAATAAATTTTATATGTATTTTAAATATTTTCCCCTAAAGACTGATAACATATACACCCTGGTAATGCAATTTTACTTACAAGCTGTTACATCTGCAGGTACAGCAGAGACTGTTGCTGTGAGAGAGAAAAGGTGAAATTAAATTTTATGTGCATGTTAAACATATATTTTTTTTCCTCAAGACTGGTAGTATGGCTGCAACAGTAATGCAAGTTTACTTACCAGAGGTTACATCTGCAGGTTCAGCAGTAGGAGAGACTGTTGCTGTGAAAAAGAAAATTTGAAATTAAATTTTATATGCATTTTAAATATTTATTCTTTTCCTCAAGACTGATAGCACATATACCCCGGTAATGCTATTTTACTTACAAGCTGTTACATCTGCGGGTTCAGCAGCGTCTGTTGCTGTGAGAAAGAAAAGGTGAAATTAAATATTAAGTGCATATTCTTGCTCTGAAACTTGTAGCATGTAACCCAGAGTAAAACTGTATTACTTACTAGTGGTAATGTCTGCTGGTGCAGGACTAGAAGAGACTGTGAAAAGATAAGGTAAAATTAAATTTCATGTCAATTTTAATTTTTTTTCCCCTAAATACTGATAGCATATACACCACAGTAATGCAATTTTTCTTACCAGTGGTTACATCTGCAGGTTCAGCAGTAGGAGAGACTGTTGCTGTGAAAAAGAAACGGTGAAATTAAATTTTATATGCATTTTAAATATTTTCCCCCTAAAGACTGATAACATATACACCCTGGTAATGCTATTTTACTTACAAGCAGTTACATCTGCAGGTTCAGCAGCGACTGTTGCTGTGAGAGAGAAAACGTGAAATTAAATTTTATGTGCATGTTAAATGCATATTTTTTTCCCCAAGACTGATAGCATGTGTGCAACAGTAATGCAATTTTACTTACAAGTGGTTACATCTGCAGGTTCAGCAGTAGGAGAGGGTATTGCTGTGAGAGACAAAAGACTAAATTAAATTTTGTGTGCATTTTAAATGTATATTTTTTTCCCACCAAGACCCATAGCATATAAGCCAGAGTAATGCTGTATTACTTAATATAGAACAAACAGGTGAAATTAAATATTGTCTGCATTTTAACTATATAGTTTTCCTGTGAGACCTACAGCATTTCCTGTTTATAGGAAATCAGGGCTTAGATATAACAGTGACAGAGCCTAATTTGTCTGGGATACTTTGTAATTTAAGGGATATGGCTTGGGTTTGTTTTTTCCCATCCTTTAAATCCTGCCTGGTTCAGCCTCTCTCCCCAGCCTTGCTTCTTCACTGAGTCAATGAGCCAGCAGTTGACTGATCTTGAGGTTTGTTAATTGACTTCAATCCTATCAATGTGATCAATTTGGAACAAACTCAAGCCCTGTTATTGGATTTTATGGCCTTGTGTCTGTACCTTACCTTCAGCCAGCGTGGAGAGGATTTCTGAGGCCGGGGTTGTCGCCTCTGATACGAGTGCAGCAGGTAACTTTTGTGGTTCTGAAGTGTTTTCAGAGGCTGTGAGAAAAGGGAGAAACATGGAAACAGGAGGGAAAGAGCACTCAGGTAAGACTCTTGAATAATTTTTTGAATCGGCTCTTGATGCTTTTCAATGCCTTCAGATTCCATGGTGTGGGTTCAAACCGTGCCCCATCCTCACAGCAGCCTCTGCCCACCTGGCTGGTGGCAGCAGCTCCGTGCCAGGGTAGCCAAATTCATCGACAAACATCAGCTGCACTGAGAGATGCTGATTTTGCAGCATATTTTGGCTTCTCCACTGAAGTCCTGCCCCAACCACGTTTTGTGCAAGTGCCCTTTACCTGTCTGTGGTGTGTCTGGGGCTTCTGATGTCCTGCTTTCCTCAGCGGGGTTGGTGGAAAAGAAGGCTGAAAGGGTGAGAAATTAAATGGCTGAAAGCAGAAATTAAAAGCTTAAGAGTGATCTCAAGAGCTTGTGACTTGATTTAGGTCTCAGGTTTAATAAAAAACTGACCTAGTGGGTAATGTCCCTGCCCATGGGAGAGGGTTTGATCCAGGTGATCTTTAGGGTCCCTTCCAACTCAAACCATTCCATGATTATCAATCTGCTGAATAACTGGAGAGGCTCATCCCCCATCTGGGGGAAATGAGTGCAAATGTCAGTCTGTGGTCCTTAATGTTTCCAGAGCTTTTATGAATTTTGGACACACAGAATTACAATGATCTGGACAGTTTTTCTTTGCAAATTTGTGTGTTCTTTACAGGTACAACTCAGGGATTTAATCAGTAAGTGAACATATCCCTGCCTGTCCTGACAGGTGGATATTTTTCAAGTGAAGATGTTGTCGTGGGATTGTTCCTTCACAAAAGAGGAACTAAGGACAACTATATTGTCTGCTATGAGTATTTATAGATTTCCACGGTCTCATCTTAATTTGTCTGAAAACCCCAAATTAACAGAGTGTCTGCTTCAAAAAACACATGTGAAATGGCTGTTCTTACCTTTGTCAACTGTGGTTGGGATTTCAGGAGCTAATGTGGTCATTTCCTCTGTGACAGGAGAGGGTGCAGAAGACACATCTGTGGCCAGTTGAGGAAATACAAAACAGAGAGAGATTGGCAGCAGTTAGGAGTCAACATGTGAATGCAAGTCTTGATGAAGGTAAATAAATTTGGGCTTGATGAGACAATGAGTCATTGCACAGCCTTTTTATTTTTGATTTTAAAAAATTGCTTTTACCCCATTTAATATTTATTAACAAAGGCAGTCAGTCTTTGTGTTGTTCCTGACTGCATTGCTTCACTCCTAGAGGTGCAATAATCCTTTGGAAAGGTGCAAAGGAGCCGTTTTGAGGGAGAATAAAACACAAGATTTGTCTTGTGCTTTGGGAGTGACTTCCAGCCCCCAAATGTGCCTCACCTTCACTGTGGGTTGCCACGGTCTCTGGAGCAGGAGGAGTCTCAGTCTGTGCTGGGGTTGAGCTGGGAGCAGGGGAGAATTCTGCAGAGACATTGCAAGGATCTGGGACATCGTTCCCACTTTGGGTTTCATGGGAAAGAAAGTTAAATCCCTGGACTTTAAGCTTTGATCATGTGGCTCAGAACAGCATCTTCCAGTTCACTTCATTGTAAGTGAATTTGGGAGATTTGTGTTCCTCCTGCTTGCTTTAAACAAACCCCACCTGTTGCTCAAAATTTTCACACCTGACATTTGCAGCTTGTTTTTTAACCTTGCATTTGCCAGCAGGAGCCAGGGGTTCTGTGGTAGTTGTCACAGTTGCTACTGTGTTAAAACCTTAAGAAGAAATGGTTTTGGGAACCAGCTTTTCATTTCTGTGTTATATATAATAACATATACTCATGATTCTATGTAGTAGAAAACCACATTTTAGCACCTGCTCTTCTGTGTGTATTATGAAGAGCATAATTAACACCTAGAAATCCCAAGAGACATTAGCAGACTCTGTACTTTAACATTTCCAGTGTATTATGATTATTTCAGCAGAAAAAAAGAATCAGAAACTTAGACCTGGAGTGTAAAGACTTGCCTCATGTTTTCAGTAATTATTAGTAGCTAAGTGGCAAATACAGTTTGTACTAGCAATGCAAAGAAATAATGAAAATATAAAGAAATAATGTTGTAGTGGGTGAATAAATAGTAATTTGGAGCAATAATTTGTAATTCAGAGCGTGTGCCTTGGTAGAAAAGTGTCTGCCAAGGAGCTGTAACCACATGATTTTTTGAATTAAAAATTAGGCTCTGAGCACTGAGGAGACTCTTTACAGAGCTAATTTTGGGACTCCTGTTCCAAAAGCTCAGCCTTACCTGTTGGTGCAACTGTGGTGGGCGTTGTACCTGTGAAAAGGAAAAAAAGCAAAAAT